CAATTTCGGTCTATGCTGCGGTTGGCTATAGCAGGGCAAAAATTAAGATTTGCTTGCTCCATAGTTTGTGTAGAGAATTCAATTAAAATTCACAAGATTTAGCAAACTCTTGTACTTTTTAACAATTAGTTAGTCTTACGTTGCAATCTTCTGCTCGAAGTTTATTCAAATTCATTTTTCTTTGCTAATTTTAAGCAAATACTTCAAATTAAGTCATTTCCTTGGCAAATATTTAGGGGGTGCGTCATTCAAAAGTGCAAAGTGAGGTGGGAAGAGGAAAAAAGAAAAATGAAACAAATTTGGTTAACCGAACAAGAGTTAATTTTAGCGTACATTTTACCACTTAACACAATGTAAGCTACTTTTATTTAACGAAATAAAAAGTTAAACAAAACTAAATTTATGTTAATTAAATTAAACTAATTTTAATTAAAAAAATAAAACTAAATTCATTAAATTGTATTAAAAAATATAAAAAAAGAAATAAATAATATAGAGCAAAACTAAATAATGCAAAAATAAAAAAAACGAAATAAAATAAAATAAAACATAAAAAAATCAAATAAAACAAAAAAGATTAAAATATGCTAAATAAAATAAAATTGAAAAAATTAAATTAAATAAAAAATATAGAAAATAAAATAAAATAATATATAGCAAGACTAAATAATGCGCAAAATTGATTTAATTAATGAACAAATTTAAATTAAATTAGCTTAAATTAAATAAGTTAATTTAAATAGGCAAGTAAGGTAAAATACAACAAAACAAATTAATTTAAATTTCAAGAAAAATATATGAAATGAAACTCAACTTTTTTTTAAATCTGTTAAACTAAAAAAAACTTAATTTGAAACAAATATTTTTTTTTTAAATAAATAAAGTTAATAAAATATTACAAAAATCCAAATTAAATTAAAGAGGAAACTTAAATAAAATAGAATGTTAAAATTTGAAATACATTAAAATCAGATAAATTAAATAAAATGAAAATAATTCAGTATTATTAAAATAAAATAAATTTAAACGTAATTCAATAAAATAAAATTTCTATAATTTTATGTAATATAATGTAATCAATAAAATATTATTATACTAAAAAGTTAATTTGTTAGGTAATCATTAATTGATCTACAAATTTTCTCCAAATAGTAGAAAATTAATTGCTTAAAAGTCAGCTTTTCATAAAGTTAATAAAGCTGGAGTAACATTTACGATCCTTCCTCTATGAAATCCTGAAATCTTTTACAATGCTTTCAAATAAATAAAAATTAATGGTTCTAAGCATTTAAACGAATAATATTGCTGCCCTTCCCAGGTCATTGCAAACCCACAAAATGCTAATAATTTAATGGCAAATACTTGTACAGTAATCTTATAAATCCGAGGCTCATTTATTGCTCGCCACACCCGAACGTAAGAATTATTTATTGCCAAGCTAACCGCGATATGGTTAGGTATGGCATAATTAAATTATTTATTTGGTCATTACTAAGGCATTATTAATAATATTATTTTAAAATTCATGGCTCGCCTTGAAAATAAAAATATGTGCATACCAACATATTTATTGGGCAAAGTAAAGCAGGTTAAGTGATTCTAAATACCAAAAAAAATGCCAGAAATATTTATTGCAGGGAAGGAAACAGCTTGATGTTTACCTTGACCAAAGGGAAGCCCGGCGTGGGGACAATAAATCACAACGACTCGAGTGTAACATGTGGCTGTGTGAAAGTCATTATAATTTTTCAAATTTCTTTTTTTTTTTAATACCCTTATTATTATTATAACTTTTTTTCTTTTTTGTTGGTAATAAATTTTGTAAGCCAACAAATTACCATTAATGAGCCAATCAAGTAAAGGATGGTCGCTAAAATTAATCAAGAAATTTATTCATGAAGTGAGGAGAAGGCATAGCCACAAAATTAAAAATTACTGAGAGCAGCTGCCTTTTGATGGCATAATTAGTCATTTTTATGAGTAGAGTATAAATAAAAGAATGGGCAGGCTGTTGTTTGCAATAAAAGAGCTTGCGGCTGAGCTAGAGAGTTACCTTCGGAAAAAAGCTCTTAATGAAATTTAGTATGAAACTAAAATATTAGAAGAAATAATTTAAATGCATTCATTTTCAGACTGTTGCCTTACTAAAAAATATCCTTTCACATATGAAAAATCATTCCCTTGATTACACCAGATGCGATTGACTCTCAGATATATCTCTGCAAATCCCAAAAAAATAGATATACTCTGCTTAGGCGAAAAAATTAACAGTCATTTGAAGTAAATGTCGCATGTCCGTATTACCCACTCATTGACTCACTTCGCACAAATAAAAAAAGAATGCACTAAAAAGTAACTTCCGCAAACGTACAACTGCTTTTGTTACTTTTTTAACTTTATGTTGCAACAAATCCGATGGCAGAAGTACACTACTTCCGGTGCAGCTGTTGTTGCAACACTCTTCCTATAATCAAACCGTTTGGCATTTAATGTCGTGTTAAAAGATCATTAAAACTCTGTAAAAGTGTACTTCATTACTGTATGTATGGATGTCTGTACTGTGTACTGTGAACTTAAAGCACGGTCAACTGAACTCTCAACTTTCTAAATTAAGTTCATACTGCACTTTGTCAGGTTGAGTTTGTGTGGAAAAAGTTTTACATTAGCAGTAAGTGTAATTAAGAGCAGTGATAGCCTAACTTTAACGAATGAAAATGTTATTTTCTAAGTTGGAATAAAGTAATGTAGAGTATTACAGATTTTAATGAATATCAATTTAAATTTCAAATATAAATTAATTTTAACTTTAATTTTAATTTTATTTTAATTTTAATATTAATTTGAAAATTAGCTATTAATTAGACCAAACAACCAAAGCGAGTTCAACATATAAGGTTGCCGTTCAAAATAATTTAAATTCAAATTAAGACTACTTATCTGAAATTGTACTGAGTACAAAGGTGTTATTAGCGGATGTTTTTAATGTTTTAAAGGATTTTTTTACACAGTCCAATGTAAAAAAATTACAAAATTTATTCTGTACTTCCTTGATTTTCAATATAATTTTTGGTTATCTTTAAATATTAGTTTATTGCTGGAAAACCTTTCGTAATTTTTATTAAATGTTGGAAAATATTATTGCCTGAAATTTTATCTGAAACACATCTCTTTTTATTTACTTTCTACGTAGTTATGACTACATAATTTTAAGAATTTTTTTAGCTTATCCGACATTTCTGGAAAATTTCATTATTTTTTTTTTCAATTGAATGCACTTGAATATCATATTTACACAAACATATTTTTTAAACAAATTAACAAAAGAATGCAAGTAAATAAAGCACACACTATACCTACAATAAATGTTTAAAAAAAGATTAATGAAAACCCAATATTTAATAATATAATATATTAAAAAACATACTTTAAACACAACGTATCTCTTTCATATAAAAAAAAAACTATTTTAAACTAATAAAAAACACAACTGAGCTTTTTCCCTCTTACGTGTGTGTACTCTTCACTATCGCTACTCCTATTATGTACTTTCATACATATTGCTATTTACTACTATGTAATTTAGTACTATTGCTACTACTTTTGCTATAAATATCTCACTCTTCACTCTATATCTCTATTTTAAACTCAACTAAGCACTCAAAACATACTCGCTAGCCACAAGCCACCAAAGGTGGGCCAACCGGCTTTATACCAATTGCGAAAAAAAAATATAGACAACAAAAAAGGTATAAGATTTTAACGCGTGTATGCGTTGAGTGCTTAGACCATGCAAAGGAACAATTTCTACAACGAAAAATATCTATTTATGTATATACTTCTTCACAATATGCTCTATTGACACAACTCTATTTTGATGTTGAAATTTGTTTATAAAACAAAAAAGTACACCACACGATAAATAAAAAGATGAAAATGGAATAAAAGTAAATAAACACACTAAACAAGTTTTCTACTAACTACAACAAAAGTTACTACTATTTTCACAACAATATTCTACTATTCTACTACTAGCTCCTACTACTATTACTACAACTACTAGTTTCTACTACTATACGCTACTACTACTACTACCATTTCTACTCCTTCTACTACTACTATTACTACTATTACAACTACTACTACTACTACTACTACTACTACTACTACTACTACTGCTACTAATACTAATACTACTACTATAACTACTACTACTACTACTACTACTACTACTACTACTACTACTACTACTACTACTACTAATATTACTACTACTACTACTACTTCTATTACTACTATACTATTACTTATACTACTACTACTACTACTTCTACTACTACTACTACTACTACTACTACTACTACTACTACTACTACTACTACTACTACTACTACTACTACTACTACTACTACTTCTACTACTACTGTTACTACTAATATTACTACTGCTACTACTATTACTACTACTACTACTACTACTACTACTACTACTACTACTACTACTACTACTACTACTAATATTACTACTACTACTACTACTACTATTACTACTGCTACTACTATACTATTACTTATACTACTACTACTACTACTACTACTACTACTACTACTACTACTACTATTACTACTATTACGGCTACTACCACAAATACTGCTATTACTACTACCATTCTTCCTACTTTATCTACTTTTACTACTCTTACTGCTACTATTACTACTACCATTTCTACTCCTTTTACTACTACTACTACGACTTCTTCTACTACTACCACTACTACGACTTCTTCTACTACTATAACTACTACTACTACGACTTCTGCTACTACTACAACTAATACTACTACAACTACTACTACTACTACTACTACTACTACTACTACTAAAAGATTGTACACCATTTGTTTAAGTGTGTGTGTCTGTATGTACTTACTATACGTATTGTAGTCTATCCTACAATAACACGCTTATTTATTGCTGTTTCCATTACTCAATTTCTTCTTACAGAACTGAAAAATCAAATAGAAACGCAAGTAAATGAGCTAAAAACTCAAATAGAGGGAAAATGTGTCATGCAGTGATATGTCATCATATGATTATGAATACCAAAATATACCTACATAATATATAAACAGAAAACAAATGAGAAACCCAAAAAAGAAAAAAAAAAACAATATTTCAAAAACAACAACAACCAACACAAATAAATGAAATAATGAAATAACAGAATGAATAATGCTAGAAAATATATATACTACATATAGAGCAGACCATAACAAATCTATATATATATATATATACATATATAAAAAACATATAAAATTTATAACAAGGCAAACAAAAATTAATACTCTATAAATTAATAAAAACAACAACAAACCATACTTACCAAAAAGAAAACAACAGCAAAAAATTTTTCCAATTTCCCAACCAGTTATATATATATATATATATATATAACATATGTATATACATATACCACACGAAAGTATATACTCAGTGGCAGCAAATAAATTGGCAGTGAACACCAGAGATTCGAAAGAAAAATTCGTAAAATCCGAATAAATTGATAAAAGCAAATATAAAATATTCAAGGACAGAGAGTAAAAATGCTGATAGCAAAAGGAGTTCTATATATATGTGTTAGCGTCTGAAATATTATATACACATATAACATTTAGTATGTAACAAATAAATTTCGCATACATACTTACATACAACTACACAAAAAAAAAACAAGTATATATAAATAAATAGAAATGAAAACCGGAGTTATAAAAGTAATAAAAACTAATTAATTAATTGTTTATAAAATCATTAAAGAAATTAGTAAATTATTAAAATATTATTTCACATATAAAAAAGCATACAATAAAACTATACACATTTTAAATTAATTTAAAAATAAATACAAATTCGACAAATGTGTAAAAATTTACAAAGATAAAAAAAATAACAAAAAGGTAATTAAATTAAAACACACAATGAGCTAATGATATATAAAATAAAAATCAGTAATACAGACACTTCACTAAAATACACCGCAAAATTATATAAACCATTGCAACAACAGCAAAACGCAATGATATACCGCAGGATTGCATGCCCCAAAGCAGATCAGAAAGTATGCAGCAAAAATAAATATGGCAAATGGCAACAATGCAACACTGTCATCGTTTGGATCGAATATTTTTCGGAAACTGCGCTGCAGTAAAGCAACAATGAGCGATGAATTCCAATAGTAACCAGCGTAATCTCGCTCGATGCCTAAGGAGATCAGCAGCTATGCGCGATTACACCGCGAAAAATCTGTCGGTGGTGAGCAGCTCTTTCACTGATTGGCAATTTATCGCTTATAACGACAGTTTCACCGCTAACAGCGCACGTGTTCAGCATGCGTGAGCGAAACAAATGTATGCTGTAAAACACAAAGATAGAAAAACACAAGCAGACAAATTGAAAATAAATATTAAACACTAAACAAAAATAATATAATGAAACGAAATGTAGTAAAAAGCATGCTAGAAAGAGAAATGTGCAAAGAATGACAGAAGAGAGAGAAAGAAAGAAAAAACCTAAAACGAAAATGCCTTCAAAATTAAAAGAAAAAAGAAAAAACAAAATAATTAACACTAAAAAAGCAAAACAAAAATATTTAAAATTATAACGATATGAGAATTTCGGCATACATAACAAAAACAACAAAAAAACCAATAAAATTAACAAAAATAAATACTTCAAGAAGAAAAAACAAATTAATTTGCATATAAAATGTATAAGAATACAGAAAACTATAAACGTTTGGCTAGTAAAACAAAAGAAAAATGTATAGAAAACATGCGCAAAATGAAAAACAAAACTTCTACTCCCTTTCAATCTACACTTAAATTAGCCTGAAACTCTCCTGGTTAAAATACCGTAAATTAATTAAAATAAAATGGTAACCAAATACCTTTCACAACGCTCATATAATAATACTTACTATTAGATAATACTCTCTTTGCATATACATACTAAAACATCAACAACAACAAAGAAACAAAAAAATTGACAACCTCTAAAAAAACTTTACTCAATTTCCAATAAAATACAAAACAAAAAACATTTAGTTGCTCCTCTTACGCTTGTAAAAAAAAAAAAGAAGAATAAAATAATTAACTCATATTGTCACAACTCCAAACACTCCGCAACGTTGCTGCTTTGATTGCAGTAAAAAATGTACATTAATTTGGCAAAATCTGTACGAAAATGCATTTTTGAATTTTTCAAAATTTTTTACTTGTCTATTTATCCATGGCGAATTGGCAAATTGTTTCAAATTTACATGCAAACCAAACTATGAGACACAATTTTCAGCAAACAACTGGCTAATCTGTACAATTTCTTTCTTTTACTCAAATCTTTCAATTTTTGAAATAAAAAAAAAATTGAAAAAAAACATACACACAATGAGCCCTAATCTCTGAGATTACACTGAAACGAAGAAAACTGCAAATGTAAGTAAAGTTCAATTTTTTACATAATTAACTACTTCAAACAATTTCTTTAAAACTCATAAAATTTTAACATGAAAAATTATTTTTAATTTATTTTTTGTTTTTGCTTTATTTAGTTTATACAAAACAAGTAGAATTTGTGTAAAATATTTGAGAAACACTCCAAAAGTTGAAATGTATATTTATTTTTGCATTAATATATACATAAAAGCAGCAGTTTTGAATTTTTTCTTTTTCAATATTTGTATTTTGAGATGAGATATATATATATACATCTAACACTATAATTCATAATAAAGCGTTAAAGAGCATCAAATTATTTTAGTCTTTTCGCTGACATTTATATTATATTGATTTTTTTTGTACAGCAGCAAATACAATATTTATTAATTTTATGCCTCACATCTCACCGAAAATTCAAGTTTCTTCATTTTACACCGCATACAATATTCGAAAACAAAATCTATTTACTTACATATATATATATAGTAAATATTTCCCTAACAACTAATAAATAGCAGAATACACGCCAAGCCGTTAATTAATAAGCCATTTGTAGTATCATATACATATATATTTATATAAACAATAAAATAATTTCAATAAAAAAATATAAATATTATTTAAAAAAAAATTTCTGTTACTGCCAACATTTGAAATTCATGTCGACCACACAGTCGACTGAGTACATATGTTTTAGGTAGCAAAGCAGATTTAAGCATATTTGTGATAGATAATAGCAAACACACAACCAAAGCAAAGAAAAAAAAAATAACAAAATAATAATTTAAAAATGCACCAAACCACCTTTTTCACACTTTTAATCCAATATACAGCAATAGAAAAACTTTTGAAAAAAAAATAATAAAAAAAAAAATTAAAAAAATACCTGTTAGTAACAATATGTATATATGTACCCTTGAATGTTGTAAAATAGGTTCTTGAAAAACAATCCATACTTTTGGTCCATAAATGAGTTTTGAATTTTATAAAAAAAAAATTCAGTAGTTTGAAAATTCATGCAAAAAAACAAAAAAAAACATGTCGTAGGTAGTAAATGAAGTAAACAAGTGTAGCTGTGATAGGTTTAAGGTACTTCAAAATATTAAAATGGTCACTTACGAGAGCTTTTTCTGAGCTTTAGTTTTGACACATTTCATTCAGAAATTCAAAAGCTCCTAAAATCAAACAGACTCGACATATAAAAGTTGTTTAAAAACTTCAAACTCTTCTATCAATTTTCAGTTTTTATGAATTTATGAATTCATTTCAATGCATTTTTTTCGGAATTAAAATCAAAAGCTTAAAACCTGCCGCTTCCGTGTAGTTTCAAAAAAAAAGGACAACTAATGGGCATATCTTCAATATTGTTGCAGTTTTTTTGAAGAATAATCGCCCATTTTAGTAACTATTTTTTAAGCTTCAAAAGTCACACAAAAGTTCACATACAAGACGCCAAATAACTAATTTTAGCTTTTAAAATTGTACAGATTTCACACAAGAAAATACCGTTTCATTGATTTTACTTTTTTTTTTATAATTTTTCATTACTTCGATGAAATTTTTTCTAAATTTTCACACTTAAAATCTTTCAGCTCAGTTTAATATGACCACATAAATAGGCAATGAAATATAGTTTGATCTTATTGTAACAAATATTTGCAAAACATCCATTAGATGAAACGCTATTTATATAACAGGTATGCATTTTTAAAACAGGTTTGAATAAATTTTTATTATTTCAAACTTAATTGGAAATAAAAACATTTTACATTTTAATATGAAATACATCACTTCGATGAAATTCATATGTCTGTCTGTACTAAAAAAAAACATAAAAATAAATATATGTAAAATTAATATTTTCAAAATCGCGAGTAAGAGAAAATGCATAACTTCTTGGGGGAAAATATTTCAAAGTAGTTCTGACTAACACATATTTTAGAAAACAGACTATTTTCTAATTTAGGTATTATGATATTAACATATGTATTTGAAAACTATTTTTCACTTCAAAGGCGTCGTTTCTTAAAGTTGAAAATGCATATATAGCTTTCAAACTACTTCAAAAGCACGGTACAAGCTTTCAAGCACGTTTTGGGAAAATATAAATAGACTGTTTTTCAAATTTTGGTTTGAAATTAAAATAAACAAAACTCATTGCATTAAGCATTTAAACATACATCTTAAGAAAAAACTGATTTAAAATGGCTTCGTACCTTAGGTTGAAGTGATTTAAAATAATAGAAAATCTTATTTAGTATTTTTATTTTCACACATTGCCAAGCACAGTTAACGCACAACTGTTAACAATTCATCCATTCCATGAATTTCGTTTCATTTCAGTAAAATCATATAATTTAACTATTAATTAGAATCCTTTCAAGCAAACAACGAGCAGCTTTTTCAAAAATACATCCAATAGACGTATTTTTTTATAATTCATAAAAAATAAATAGATATAATAATACTTAAAAGCAAATACCAAAGCAGCAAAATAGCAGTTTTCTGATTTATACAACCAATCGATGTACTTTCAATTTCTTAACAACTTTTTAACTTACAACTTCAAGTTACAAATTTTTATAAAAATTCCATTACAAATCGCGTGCATCTGGCAAGTCTGATACACAATTCATACCGTTTCGTATACAACGAATATCATATTTAACATTTTTTAGTATGTACAAAGATTTCATTATTATAATAGCGTAAATTTATTTTGCACATAAATATATGTGGATGCATACACAACGCACCGCTGCACAAACATAAAGCGAGTATATAATAATAATAAATATATTTCATATATCCATATACCTTCATACACATTTTCCAAACAATTAAGTACTTATCACACATACATGCATATAAAAAATTATATTAAATAGCGTTATGCATGAAAATTTCTTTTTTTTTTCTATTACACATTTTTAACATTTTTTCATTTTTGTACTAAAGTTTGTAAATTATTTCATCAATTATTGTTACAAATATACATATTGCCTTATTATATATATATATTTACTTGTATACATACTATCTACATAAGAAAACTTACATAAAAAAATATACTTATATATCAATGTCACTTACTATCTCTTTTTTCTCTATTTTCTTTATCTTTCTCTCTCTTTCTCTTTTCCTTGCTGTAACACGATTGTTTTAATCATTTTTACTACGCTCTTTGTATGAAAAATAAAAACAACAACAACAATAACATTACAATCATTAATATATATATGTATGTATGTTATTTGTGTAATTAAATGTTTTTACATACAACCATTATATGCTTCTTTGTATGTATGTATATACCGTTTGTTAGACTATGTGCTGTTAGAAAATATAAAATAAAATAAAAAACATGCTTGTGTATGAAAAAACCATTGCCAGCATATTAATGGAAAATTCCATAGATTTCGATAGTCGCATTATGTCAGAGATATGTACATATATACATATACATATATTGTATAATAAGCACCAAACAGAAAATTGTTTCAACAAAAACACCACAAACAGTACAACATGACCGCAACAACAGAAAACAGCAAACTGGTCTAAACATATGTAGGACTCTCTCAAACGATGTCCTGCCACAAACTTCTTACGCAACCCGAAGGCGACACTAAAGAAGCGATTCTCAACACTCAACTGCTAGTAGTACATTGATGCCTACATAATCTTATTACCCTGAAAACTGTATGAAATTCTTAAAAAATATTATATTTAAGGCGCTATGAGTACAATTTTAAGCATATATGTATATGTATTTGTGAATATAATGTTATGTATTTGTTTAAGTGGATTTCTATAGATTACAGGTATGTCTGATTATTCATTAAATGCACAGAGTTTCAAAAAGCTTATTATAAACGTAACGCTTTTTGTTTCAAAAGCTTCCGAAAAATCTCATTCATCTATATTACAAATTTGTAAAAATTACAATAAACAGTTTTCGTCAGGCAGTAAAGTCGATATTCATCCAATCGATGAAAATGTTAAATTCAGTTTTCTGCAAAAAAATTGAAAAGCTCGAAAACTTTAAAACTTAACTTTTGCGCAAAAGTGTAAAGAAATGTATATGAATTACAAACATTCTTCTTTTCGATGAAATACTTAGATTTCAACGCATATGAATATGACAGATATAGTTTGCTCATAACAAAATTTGTCTTTAAGGCAAAAAAATGAGTATTCATCCAATAGATGAAAATTCAGAAAGCAGTTTTTTCTTTATTATTTTAACCCAATCAAACTTCCAAAGTTGAAAGATTAATTGAACTCTCCTTCTTTTTGGTGTAATTCAGCAGCGGTTGAGTTATAAATGGATACAAACAAATTAGAAAAAAATGCATAAAACCAAAAAAAGTTGAACTTGTTAAAATACATCAAATGTATGAAAATTGAGGGAGATTTGGTGCAAATTTCCAATGTTTTACAACTACATACATTTCTTCCATGAATGGACAAACTATCCAAAATTTAGCTGGAAATTTCATACACGTAGCTTCGAAAATCGTTTTTCATATAAAAACAGTGTAAACATGAATATGAGAGCGGAATCATAAGCAGTGTTTTTACATATTGGAAAACCAACATTTTAACAAAGGTGTGCAGTGCTCTACTATTTTTCTCCCTCTCTCCCTCTGGCCTTCTCGCCCTTTCTGATCTCCCTGAAAGCAATGCTCATTTAAGGTTTGAGTATATGCTAGTGCTTTATGTAGCGTCTAAACTAAGCTTAACTACTAAAATAATTGGGTTAAAAAGGCGTAGGGCTTACTTAAGTGTATTAAAAAAACATATATAATATTAAATATGGTAGCCTTGTTGTTATCGTCGAGAAAGTGATGCAAATTATCATTGTTTTTTTCTTAGCTTAAATAGAAGAATTTGTTATTTAAATAAATGAAAATAAATTGTTAATCATTTTATTGTTAATTAATTTTTAATAAATATATAAGTAGTTATGTTATTATGTTATTTATTTATTATATAAAGGTATTTAAATAATTTTAGGAGAGTCTTTAATTGAAATAATGTAACAGAAAGATCAGGAAAACTTTGCTAAATTCATATTTGTATGAAATATATCTTCAATGAATTGCAATGCAGTGGCCAGCTATATTTATAAATTAATTTAAAACTAAAAATCACAAAAATAAACAATAAACGCAATTACTAACAATCAATAAATAAATTTGGTTTAAAATATAAACGTTATTAATTTAAGGTTTAACTCGTTTCACTTTATTGTTTTAGTAAATTTTGCTTTTCGTGCCTCTTGTTTAAAAAAAATCTTTTACCTGCAAAAATCTTTTTTTTTTTTGTTATATTTTTAATTATTTATATACATTTTTTCTTTAGCTGGAGCTCAGCTTTCCGTTTTCTTTCGCACACCAGCAAATCATTTAAAATTAGCTTCGAACTGTGCATGCATATTTGTTAATGCAAATAAAAAAAAAACTCCCATATGTATTTATTGTATCTATGTAATAATAAAACATAAAAGTTTAAATAAAGAAGTAATTTATGGCTTTGAGACATCACATAATAACTATTATTACAACAATGTATTATTAAAACTTATACTTAACTACTTGAAGAAAAATCAAAGAAAAAATCAGAGAAAAAACCAACGAAAAATAAGCGACAAAAGGCAATTTGGAATTTCATATTTATTATTCATCTTAAATAATAAACAGCATAAATTCAATAATAAACTAAACATAATTTCTTTTCATTAATACTTTGCAAAAAAATAATTTACTCTTTAACCAAAAATATAAATACAAACTCCGAAGAGGTACAAGCAATTTAAATTTTACTATAAACTTATATATTCAAATATAAATGAATCTCAATTTAATTTTAACAGAAAAATAACAGTTTTTCCTCTTCACAATCATCTAGAAAATTTTCATTTTTAAACCAACTCTCTTTATCTCAAATGCGCTAGAGAGACAACTCTTTTCCTCTACTTTCCTATTTAACTGCACAAAAGCGCCCAAAAGAAACAATAAAAAATTCTTCGTATAATATTTTATGTTATAATTACTAATTTGTATTAAAAAGAAACTCCTAATCCTCAAAACCTTTTTGATCTAATAAATACCTGAAAAATTAAAAAAAAAAATCTCTTTAACCTTTACCTGCTATTATAGAAAGATCCATGCTACTCACTTCAGCTCCGATTTAAAAATAATAATAACAATTAAATAAAACTTAATTAAATTCTTAATTTATTTGGTATAAAAAAAGAACTTTAGCTGAAATTTATAAAAAAGAAAATAAATAAATAAATTGAAATGACAAAATGCCACACTGCATGGCGATGCAAGCCAAAGCCGATGAAGAACATTTCAAAAGATATATTTGAACAAATAACACTAACAAAAATACAACAACAGCCAGTACAGTAGGCCTGTTGCGAGCAAATAAAAGGAAAATTAAACAAATATATATATATATATATAAAAATGTAATATACATATAGAACGGTTAAAAAATAAATGAAAATAAAAATATTAGGTAAAAACTGTATTGTAAAACAAACGAACACACACATACACACTCACACACAAACGAATTGAGTTCACATAACACACAAAACCACACAAAAACCAAAAATTTGTAAATGTATTTCGAAATGGTGTGTGTATGTGTGTCTATAAATTAGGATGAGAAAATTGCATGAAGATCACATGGAATGAAACACGCAAACAAGAGACGAGCACGAAACTAACAAAAAAAAAAAAAATTTAAATAAAAATAAAAATAAGTAAAAAATAGCAAAATTTATTTACAGCCATGCAGCATGTAGCAAACAACATATTGCTTACATACAATTCATCCATATATACAAGAACAATATAATATATAAACTAACATGCAAACAAATACAACAATAGTAGAAATAAAACGACAGAGGGAAATGCAAATTTTGACAAAAGGAAAAAAACAACAAAACAAACAATTATATATACATATATATATATATACTCTACACTAACATATATATGTAAATTGTGTAGAGCAAAAAAAAAAAACCAAACAAACAAACTGGATAACATTGAAACACCCAACAACAAAAGGCAAAATATTGCAAAAAAAACAAGAACAAAAACAAAAACCAAATTCATAGCAAACATAAAGAAAAACATAAACAAATAATGTTGCATTAATTAAATTGTTACTTTGAAAATTTAACAAACAAAAACCAGAAAAATCCAAAAAAAAAACTTAATAAAAATTATATAAACTTAAACAAAATCTGAATGTTGTTCTTTTATTTCTTGTTGTACTCGTACTTTGCTGTTTACTACAACTACTATCACCTAACAAGCTGTCTCTTTCTCAGAAAACAATACATTTAGAAGTACATATATATATACATACAAAAATCTCAATTTTACCACTGTCTCTATTGTGCTCCTTCACTACTAGTCACTTCTCTTACTCACTCACTCATTTTACTGAGAAATTTTTTAGATCTTCTGAATCATTCTAAGGGTAGACTTAAGAGTTGAAATTGAATTACTTCCTTGTCGTTTTTTTTTGGGCATTATTATTAATTGCTTTCAACTCACTCTCTCCTTCGGCTATTTTTACTTCATTATACCTCTGAAACTTATATCGCTCATATTAACTTCGCATATACGTAATTACGCTGCCCTCTGTCTGTCTCTCTCATTTAAAGTTATTCTCAATTTAGTACACACACTTACTTTCTCAGGATTTTTGTCTGCTAAGAAGGTTTTCTTCTCCCATCTCTTATATTTTTCCCACTATTTTTCTTTTCTTAAACTTTCTCTCGCTACTTCAAACTGGATAACTGAATATTTTACCTTCAAAATGTGACTTTCCCGCCTTCTTTGGGAGCTCTTTGGTTATTTTCTTTAAATTCTCTCAAATTAATTATTACTTTTCTTCACGTTTTTAGTTCATATTTTTTATACTTCCGGATTAGCAACTATCTTTTCGCCTAAAGATTCGTTACTGACTTTACTCGAATTTTGAAGAAAATTTATTATTCTCTTAATTTCATTAAATGATAGTTTCTTTCTGTCTACATAGTACGCCATTTAGACTGTTGAGCCTTCTACCCTCTCTAACTTTAAATTTTCCGACATCCGAATGTGCCTATAAGCCTATTAGATTAATATCTGGTCTGCAAACTGTGGTTTTTCTGTTATATTTTGTTTCCATACTCTTTATTCATGCATTTAAAAATTTAATTTTTCCTTTACTTTCTTATATTTCTTTGGCCGAATCCCAAAAGCTAAATTAGATTGCTTAGATATATCCAAAGGAGTTCTGCATTGACTCGTGTTCAATATCTCGAATTTAGGCCCTCTCTTCGTGAATATTAACTTTTTCTCACTTTCTTCATTTAAACTTTTTTAAAATAACTAGACTTATTGGTATACAGGTTTAAGCTATAAACAGTAATTATACAGTTTGACCCTTCTAGACTAATTATACTCTCTCAGCCCCTCTCAATCTCAGTCAAGGTCTATTCCTTATTATCTTTTTCAACCTTCTTACTTTCTCTCTCACCTTCTCTATCGCTTTCTCTTTCCTTCTCCTCTCCTTCCCTCTCTCTTTCTCTCTCTCCCTCTATCTCTGTCGCTCCTACTCTTTCCTTCGCCAGACCTCTATCTTTAATATTTTCTCTGCTTCAATCTTTCACTTACTTTCGCACTCCTTAACTCGCGTACTCAGTTAAATATTCACTCAATTTCCACTAATATTCGTACATACATAAATCAGCATTCATTGTATATAATCGAACATTAAAAAGAAAAATGCCTGCTATAACAAGTCAAAAAAGCGACATATATAACCAACAAAATATTAACTAATTATCTAACCAGTTACTCACATAACTAATAACCGATCGAATTTTGATATTGAATCAATAAATAAATTTGCATTACTTAAATTTGTATAAGTCTATAAGGTAAGTTTGTGTGTGTGCCTCTCTTATAATTTCAGCTTGTATGAAAAAACTTTGGAATTTCATACGTAAAAAGTTTAAAAACATTTTTTAATTCGATAAGTAAGTATCGAAGGCTGATGATGATAATGTTGGCGGTGGAAGCAAGGATCTTAAACTACTTGAATAAATGTTTAGCTATGTGCATTGTGCGGCTCTATATGGATAATATATATTTACATATATACATATATAAATATATCTATTATATTTTGTTAAGGAAAAAAGAATTCTTCATTACATATGTATGACTTTGTATAAGTAGTTTTGAACTCTGTACGGCACATATGTCTGTATGTAATTAATCATTACTCTCCTACATTGCACTCACATATAATATTTAGGCATAGATTGG